CACAATAGGAGTAGTCTGAGTAGTATGCTTAGATTAAGAGGGTGGAGGTGCATACCTCAACTTGTAGACCTCAAATATTGCAACCATCTCTTTCATTACTTCATCTGCCAAAGCTTCCCCTTTTGACCTCCCATACATCTTTTCCAACTTCATCGTCAAGTAGTCTAGTTTACGCCTAAGATCTAGCACACTTGCCATGTAAACTAGCCTATTTATCCTAAGGTTATCCTCCTCGTCATCAACATCATTCTCAAACCAATCCTTTCTCACCTTTGCCTCTATTCTTTCTGTCATTCTTTGTATCTGTCCATTTACATCATTCTTGAAAGTTGCTATCACTTCATGATATCAACAATGGCTTTGCAGAAAGTAAGTGCAGTGACATATGATGTTCCTGATACAAAGTAAAAATAACAAATCATCAATATAAATAATTAAATATTACAACTTATTATCAATTAATCTTTCACTTTAAGTCTTTAACTTTAAGAATTAAGATATGAATTTGAAAATTTAGACGTTCACATACCTGATACACGAAGGGTAAGCTCATAAAAGACTTCAAGTACTTCATGAGCCGCCTAATGCTACTCCAATCTTATTCACTTGGAAGACCCTTCTTGGAGTCCACATAGTCTCGAAAGGAAGCACCAGTTGAACTAGCATACATGAACTTAAACACATGCTCGAACCTTTCTGCAGAATCCAATATCAAACAGGTGGAATTATACCTAGTTGGAACATCCAAAGACACAGGTCTTCTCTCATCCATCTCTAGATATGAGATGCTAGACTTGAACTTTGCACTCCGAGCTGGTGATGACTTAACTCATTTCACACAATCCCTTAACCTTTCCACAATAACTCCAACCTCCTTCAACCCACAGAAACAACCAGATTGATTATATGTGTCACACATCTATATTGCAGATACTTCCCATCTAGCAAGTTCGATGCCCAACCTTTCAGTTTTGTTCTCACACACTCAACAAGAACATCATTATAAGTGGCATTATTCATTGTCATACAAAACAGATTCTTCACTTTCCATTCTTGTAGGTATGTTGCCAAACTTTTTGCAATGTCCTTTCCTGTGTGACTAGTAATGGGAACAAAGCAAATAATCCTCTTCTGCAACTTTCAATCATCTCCAATAAAATGAGTAGTCACACACATATAATTCTGATTGTTATCAGAAATCCATGCAACTTTAGTGATCAAAATCCTTCCTTTGCACTTTGAGTTGAAAAAACTCAATCAACATCTGCTTCTTCTCCAGAAAAATGACAAAACAATATGATCTTATTGTTTTTCTTCCAGGTATCACAACAAAAGGCTGATTTGTGGCCACAAATCTCCTAAACCATTAACGCTTAACAAATCTGAACGGTAGCTCATCCAATATGATCATTATAGCTAATGCATTTCTAGCTTTGTTCTGAACGAACTTCCATGGAGTAAGAGAGCCCAATTCACCATCCTCACTTCTAGGTTGATAGTTCAATACTAATTGAACACTATCTTCCCTCTACCTCCTCTTGCATGCCAAGTGATGGTTCTTCAAACCAGTAGTCCCATTGAAACTTGAATGAGCTTTGATCTGCGTCCCACATCGTTTGCATTTGTCGTATGGGTAACCATCCACTAGCACACGAGTATAAGGATTCCACCACCTAGATTTCCTCTTCCTCCCCTTCTCCAACACCAGTAGTAGGGGCCGGATTTGTTGGAGATGGAGGTGGATTTGCTTCAGATGAAGGTGGATTTTCCGCATTGGTTCTACTAGTAACACCACCAGTGGAAGGTGTACTACTTGAAGCCTTCCTTATTTTTTGAAGAGTTTCGAGGATGCAACGAACCACCTTTCTTATTACCTTGACCTCCACAACTACAAGAAGGTTTCGTCCTAAAAGAGTACAACAAAATGAACAAATAAATTTTCTAAACAACCAAACCATTCAATTCAATTAAATTTTGAACTATTACATTTGTAACCAAATTCTGAAATTCATTTGACAACTACTGACCGTCTAACCCATTCAATTGTAATATCCAAGTTCCAACAAGTAAATCAATTAATCAATCACTAATTGCCTAATTGAATCACTAAATTTTCTCAATTCCTCATACATTTTTTGCTAAGCACGCTGGGGCTGCTTTGTTGGGACTTCTTCCAATCTCTATTGCTGCTCGATTCACTGCTGGTTGCTCCTGCTCTGTTCTCTTCCACAAAGCAAAGTAAAGACAGGTCAGAGACAGAGAATCAACCTAGAGACGAGGGGGAGAGGATGAGGGGCAGGGGATTCAGAGTTTCAGACTTACAAATCGGGTAGGCCTTCTGGACAGGAGCTTGACGGCAGCGGAGATGACTGAGGGAAGAAAAGCTCGTCGTCGGCGACTGGGGATGAGGAGACATGCCTCATCAGGTTGTCTGAAGCTTTGTCGGCCGAGGAATCGTTGTTGTCTTCCTCTCCTCTGGTCAATACTTATCGTCGAGTGGCGGAGATGAGAGGCAAAGTCGGTGAGGGGAGGCAGAGGCGGAGAGGCGCCCGTGGAGTCGGCGTCAGACAGGGAAGGGGGAAACTCGACAGAGAAGAGGGAAGCTGCGCCTGCAATACGAACTGGGGGAAGGAAGGTTGGTCGATCGAATTTGAATGGAGGTGGTTGGCTGGGTGACTATCGGATTAGGGTTTCTCCTCCAAACGATGCGTTTGAAGGCCCCTTCTTTCGCGAGTTTCCATTACTTCTCGGTATCCGATTTAACTGGATAACTGCCGGTATTTATTGAGGTGCTATTTGTGGCTGCCGACACCGAAACAAGCCGGTTACTTGTACGGTTACTGGTTAAACCGGATACTGTGAAACCGATTGTCACCCCTACCCATGAAGGGGGAAAGAGAACAAGAGAAAAAGGAAGAAAACGATTAGCAAGAATTTCTAAGTGCCGAAAAAATCCTTCTTCTAGCCTCCTTCTACCCTTCTTCACTAGCAACTCACTTCTCTATCTGCTTTCTCTATCTAGAGTTTCAATATCTACAAAAGTCCCTTTTAAACAAATGAGGTCTCCTCTATTTATAGATTTCAGAAAACAAGGACTAGATCACAGCCTACTTGATGGAGTTCACGGTTGTAATAACAGGAGTGAGGGCGTGATCTCGATGGGGAGTCTCCATGGGCTATCTCTGATGTGTGTTCATGGGTTGGAGTTCGTGGTAGCGATATGGAAGTCGAGACTGTGATATTTCTCGTGATCACCCTGTTGAAGGACCGTGACAATGATCCTGACACCTTCTGTATTCTTCGTTTGTCTCCTCCTAAACATCACAGTCTGGGGATTTGAGATTCGTGTGGGCTCGAGAATACTTTTCCCCTACTCTCAGCCTCTTCATTCTTCGTCATAAACATTCAAAACTCACGATGCCACTTAATATCCACAACCTAATGCAAGGAAGCAACATAGACTGCATCTTGAGTTCAAATAGAGATGACAGGATGATGACCCCCTTTTTTGCCTCGTCGCCGAATCCAACCATTTCAAAATATTGAATAGGCAATTGATTGAGCATTGGTATTACTTGTATAACCTTTACAACTTTACAAAACTAGCCGATCTGAAACTTATACTTCTCTTCTCCTCCCCTGTTCCAATTGAATAACAATATCCCATCAACTCCTCAACCATAAAAGGGAAAATAAATTTTATTATCGCCGGGAGGGTCTAGAAAGAAGGGTTGGGTAACGGGTTGGGATGTATTATGTAGCGGGTTTTATAGTGTGGCGGGTTGTGTATTATTATTTTTGTTTTCATGTTAAAATGGGTGACAGGTAATTTCAGTTAGCCACATCAGCAACAAATTGGTGCCCGTTCACGGAAATTGGCATAAAATAACTATCATAAATCAAACTTGAACTATTGAACTAATTTCAATGATCATAAATAGAATAAATTTTTTCAAGTAGTATGCATAAACAAATGGGTTAATAGCATTTTGTACCTCTCTACTAAATTTTTGCACAAACATACCCTTCTCATAAGAAAACATAACAAATGTACTCTTCTGTCTAATTTTCCGTTAAATGGTTGTTTAATGAGTTGTGAAATGACCAAATTACCCCTAATCTAATCTTAATTTTGAGTTTAATTATTTTATATCTCTAAAACTCAATTAATTAAACTTTTAAGTTACGGAGTCCCAACACCTTCCGTCTTCCTTACTCACTCAACTACCCTGCCGCCTCCGCCGCTTTCCCCTGCTCTAACCCCCGCAGAATCATCTTAGAAATCAATCTTCCCCATCGTCGCTCCTGACCAAATCAAGTCGTGTCCGAAAGACATTGCTAATCCTCCTGTTCCGACGCAAGATTCGCCTCCTCCAGATACTATCGTATGGGTCTATTTCGGAGAACATGTACTGGACCGTGTTCAGATTCGGAGACATAACCGCCGGTGGCGGGTTGGGAGGAGCCAGGAAGCAGCCTCAGCCTCCTCCCTGTTGACATCATCGTCCGTGTCAGCGGCGGCGAAGTAGCGGTCATCGAGGAAGTTGAGCGCTCAGGGCGGTGGTTCTACGACATCGGCGGAGGAGGACTTGACTACGGCGGAAGGGGCGTCGGAGGAGACGGCGTCGTAGAAGGGGACGACGGGGACGCAGTCGGGGCGGTGGGCGAGCGGATTGGCGGAGTGGATGTCCCAGTTGCAGGTAGAGTAGGAGACGTTTGATTAATTTTGAATTAATTGGGTTTTAGTGATATGAAATAAATAAAAAACCAAAATTAGGAGTGTTTAGAGTAAGTGAGGGTAATTTGGTAATTTTCCAGTCCATTAAACGGTCATTTAACAGAAAATTAAACAAAATGGTATATTCGTTACGTTTTATTAATAGAGGGGTACGTTTGTGGAAAGCGGCCAGGTCCCTAGGCAAACAATATAGGGTTTCCGAAAAGTTCGGAGAGAGGAAAATTCTCCCTTGCGAGCAGTAGGGTTTCCGAGCTAGCGTTCCATGCCGGCGGTGCCTACACCGCTGGTCGGGGGCGGCCACGATGTTATTATGCATGAAGACACAGTGACCGGACAAAGGCGACCCCCGACCGAGACCTCCTCGCCAAACCCTAAGGGCGAACGAGAGGCGCAGCAGTCCAAGAAAAGGGTGAAACAAACGGTTCCGATACCAGGTGAATCCAGTCAGGCAGGGGGATCGGCGGAGAAGGTAGGAGCTGATAGGAAACAAACGATACCCCCGGCCGGTACCAAAACCCCGGCATGGGGGGATGGGAAAGGGGCGGCGAGACGGCTTTTCAGCGAGGCGCCTCGGTCTGAGATGTGGTACATTGCAGATTCGGACTCTGAAGATGTGATGGCCAGCATACGTGAGGATGGTTTGGAGCATGATGGCGAAGGCGAGGGTGATCCTAAGTGCCCGGCTATTCATTACACCGCGGCGGAAGAGAGAATGTTCTGTCGTCAATGGAGATCAGCCCTTGTGGTGAAGGCGCTAGGGCGAACAGTCTCATACACGATGATGCTGAAGCGTTTGCAGAGCATTTGGGAGAAGGCGGGATCGATTCAAGTAATGTCGGTTAAAAAAGGCTACTTCCTCGTTCGTTTCACGAGTGGGATAGACTATGAGAGAGCTTTAACAGGTGGACCGTGGCTAGTGGGTGATAACTACTTAACCGTACACCCATGGACGAAGGACTTTAATCCATACGAACATGAGATTTCGTCGACCCTTGTTTGGGCTAGACTGTTGGAGCTGCCGATCCACTATTTCCACCCGGTGGCGGTAATGAGGATTGGAGAACGTACAGGGAAACCCATGCGGGTAGACCATGCAACACTGTCGGGGGCGCGAAGCGACTACGCCCGAGTTTGCGTCCAAGTTGATTTAACTCGACCTTTGTTATCCCAATTTACTATCCACGGGAAGAAGTACTTCATTCAATATGAGGGGCTTGACAAAATATGTTTGCAGTGTGGTACGTATTTCGAGCGCATTCGGTGCTCTTGCATGGGGAGGAATGAGGAAATGGAGGTGGAGGAACCCGCTGCTACCCCTACAAGGACTGAGCCTAAGCAACCAGATACAGTGTATGGGGAGTGGATGATCGCTAAGAAGAAGCCAAGGTCTCGCAGGCCGACCTCAGAGCCGGAAAGGGGAAGCCAAGAAAAGCGGAGAGTTCAGGTACAAGAGAGGGAAAGACAAAATGGGTCTCGATTTAATGTACTGGAGGTGGAAGAGATAGGGGGCGAGGGGGGGGGGGTGCTTCGACGGAAATACAACCCATGCATTCTGCTGAAGAACGGGATAAAAATAAAGGAAAATCTAACGAGAGGGAGAAAGAGAAGGAGGCTGTGAACCTGACCAACTGTGAGCAGTCCAAATCCAATACAAAAGTGGACCCGCCGGTGGATCAACCACCCTCGGACCCCCAGTATTCCTCTCCCCGACCTAGTCCGATAGCAGAAACGGTAACAAATCACGTTAGCACCATATCCCCACCAAGCCAGGGTAGCAATGCCATGTGGATGGAGCTGGGCCAAGGTGACATGGGGAAGCTTAGCAAAGGGATCGGTGGTAACAAACAAGAGAAGCCACCGGATCCCAGAGTTCCGAACATTCCAAGAGGGGACATACCAACGAGGATGGATGGCCAACAAGGGAAAGTATTAAGCGACGGTAATGGGAAGGTAGGAGGGGGCCTCAATGAGGAGGCTACCTCACTTTGAGTGTCCAAGAGAATGTTGAGGTTCCCTATTATTCTGTGTTATCAATGATAAAGATCTTTACATGGAATTGTAGGGGGGCGGGGAGCAAAAGCTTCCTGCGAGTGTTCAGGGAGTATCGTAGGCGTTATCAACCATATATAGTTACTCTGGTGGAACCGAAAATCAGTGGAAATAGAGCGGAAGAGGTCATTCGAGATCTGGGATATGACAAGCACATTGTGGTAGAGGCAGTAGGCAGGTCGGGTGGAATTTGGCTACTCTGGGACTCCGGGGTGGCATCGATTACTGAGGTTGACAGAGGGGACCAGTTTCTTCACGTTAGAGTTCAAAGCGGCCAAGAGCAATGGATGCTGACGGCTATCTACGCTAACCCAGCGCTCATCCAGCGTCGGGAGCTTTGGGAGGCTATTCGTACGATGGCGGATGAGGTAACGGAGCCTTGGATCTTGTCGGGAGATTTCAACTCCATTCTACAGCCGAATGACAAGCAGGCGGTGCACCCTTTGATGCGGCGCGGGCACGTGACTTCCAAAATTGTGTCTTGGATGCTGGTTTGCTCGATCTGGGGTTCACGGGGCCTCCTTACACGTGGTTCAGGATAGGTATTAAGGAGAGGCTCGACAGGGCTTTGGCGAATGCTGCTTGGAATGCCATGTTCCCGGATACAGTGATTAATCACCTTCCTAGACTGAGAAGCGACCATCGCCCAATCCTTGCTACTTTGAACCCCATGTTCCAGCCAGCTGGCCCAAAACCTTTCAAATTCCTGGCGGCGTGGCTGGTGCATGAGGGCTTTCACGAGATGGCTACGGGAGCATGGGAGCGGGGGACGGACCTTCTCAACTCTATAGCAGAGTTTACGGCGGATGCAAAAAATTGGAACCATAATGTTTTCGGGAATATATTCAGGAAGAAGAATGCTATTCTGCGACGGATAGAGAGACTGGAGGTGCAGGGTGGGGGTGACTCGGATGATCCGAGACTCGGTCTAGCTCGATCCGAGCTCGAAGATATCCTCTTACAGGAAGCATTACTCTGGTACCAAAAATCGCGGTCGACTTGGATTGTGTCAGGGGATAGCAACACTAAGTACTTCCACTTAAGAACCATGAGCCGGAGGCGGAGAAACAGAGTGGCGGCGTTGAGGAATAATAATGGGGAATGGGTGACGGAACAGACTTCCCTGTTGGATATGGCAAGGGAATTTTATGAGGATTTATACACTGATGAAAATGGTGCTAGTGTCGTGTTGCAGGCCTGTTTTGACGAGGTCCCTCAGGAGTTGTGGCTACCCTTAGCACGACAGTTTTCAATGGAGGAGATTCAGGGTGCGGTGAAGGCGATGGGCGCGCTTAAGGCGCCAGGCAAAGACGGGCTTAATCCGTTGTTCTACCAGCGGAAGTGGGAGTTGGTGGGCCCTGCGGTACTGCAGTTTATCCAAGCTTGCTGGTCCCAGCCTTTGCGAGTGAAGGATCTTAATGATACAATCGTGGTACTCATCCCGAAGGTTGCAAAACCAGCTACAATCGATCAATTCCGCCCGATTAGCCTCTGCAACGTTACATACAAGATGCTTACGAAGTGCTTGGCGGAGAGAATCAAGCCAATCATGCCTCGGCTGGTGCATGAAACTCAAACGAGTTTTGTTCCCGGTAGACATATAACGGATAATATTTGCATTTTGCAGGAAGTGGTTCATTCGATGAGGGCTAAGAAAGGGAAGACGGGATGGATGGTCCTTAAAATTGATCTAGCCAAGGTGTATGACAGGATCAAGTGGAGTTTTGTTCGTGACACTTTGCAGGCAGCAGGCGTGCCCCAGAGTTTTATTGACTTAACAATGAGCTGCATTTCCACACCGACTATGCAGATACAGTGGAACAGTGGATTGACTGAGCCTTTCGAACCATCTCGAGGATTACGCCAAGGCTGTCCTCTCTCTCCGTATATCTTTACCCTTTGTATGGAACGGCTTGGCCACCTCATATCGGCGGCTGTAGAGAGAGGGGATTGGAAGCCTGTGAAGCTGTCGAGCCGCGGACCGACTCTCTCACACTTATTTTTCGCTGACGATCTCATACTTTTCAGTGTTGCCTCCGTCGAGCAGGTCCAGGTTATCCTTCAGTGTCTGGCAGAATTTGGGGCAGCATCAGGGCAACAAGTTAGCAGGCCCAAGTCAAGAGTTTTTTTCTCGCGAAATGTCAACTTGGCGGAGGGAGGAGTAATTAGCAATGCTTTGAACATCCCGGAGACGAAAAATCTAGGATGATACTTGGGTGTCCCGGTGATCCATGACAGGGTCTCCAAAGCAACATTCACAGAGCTCATTGATCGGATAGATGCAAGGCTGGCTGGTTGGAAAGTCAAGACACTGTCTCTGGCAGGGAGGATCACGTTAGCATAGTCAGTTCTGTCATCGCTCCCAGCTTACACGATGCAGACTTCGTTCTTGCCTGCCTCCGTACGGGAGTATATTGATAGGAAGATAAGAGGGTTTATCTGGGGGAGCTCCGAGCAAGAACGCAAGATCCATCTGGTGGATTGGGAGACCGTTTGTAAGCCGAAAGACCAGGGTGGGCTGGGCATGCGAAATGCAACTCATATGAATGAGGCTTTCATGATGAAGATAGCTTGGCGGCTTATGACGGAAGCTGATTCCTTATGGGCGAGAGTTGTGCGAAGCAAGTACCTGAAGAAGACCGATGATGGGTGGCTGCCCCGAACGACGGGTCGGATGTCTAATCTGTGGAAGGGAGTGCTACGGATCCTTCACCTTATTCCTCAAGGGACAATGTGGAATGTCAAGAGTGGAGGGCAGACGAGATTCTGGGAGGATTGTTGGTTGCAGGACGGGCCACCTCTAGCTGATTTCGCCATTGGTTTGCCTGATGAGGCGAGGAGGCTCACTGTAGCCGAGTTGGTACTGAATGGAGAGTGGAATCTGCAGTACATGCGAGCGTTTCTCCCCGAAGCACTTGTTCTGCAATTGGCCCTACACCCGGTGCCGACAGAGGGAGACCCGGACGTCCCAATCTGGAGATTGTCACCCTCGGGCCGTTTCACTGTTAAATCCACATACGAGCTTCTGAGAGCGGAGGAGGAGGTTGGCCAGTCTCACCCGGTTTGGCGGCGTGCGTGGCGAATAGAGGGACCCCAGAGAACTCGCTCCTTTTTTTGGCTGGTGCTTTATAGACCGTCATTTACACATGTTTTTACCCCCATTCTTACACCGTTTGAGGTGTTGATTCTCGTGTTTTAGGCTGATTTCACGCTAGGTTGTGCTTGTTTGTGATGTTTCAGGTCCTAGTACGTGAATGAAGGCTTAGGAGCGAGTCTGGGGCCGATTGGACGAAGAACGGACGAATGGCGAGGTTTTTGGGGAGCTGCACGGGCAGACCAGGGAGGCTGCACGGCCGTGCACGTGAGCAATATGGCCGTGCGCCTTATGCCGAGGACACGCACGGGCAACCCCTGAAGCTCGCACGGCCGTGCACCCTGGCCGTGCGAGAGGGCTGAAGTTCGACTAAATGACACGCTGCGTTTTGAGTTGCACGGCCAGAATGGTGATATGCACGGCCGTGCACCCTGGCCGTGCGAGTCGGGATTTCCTGGTTTTAAGCCAAATTCCGAACCAAAGAGGAGGGAGAGCTGGGTTTTGGATCCCAAACACCCAAGGGACGAACCCTAGAGAGAGAGAGCGACTTGGGAACATTCTTGGAGCTATTTTGGAGGATTTCTTCGCCATTGGAGCTCGGGAATCAAGCTTGGAGATGGAGATTGAAGATCTAGATCAGATCTCTGCAGTCTCTCTCTTCTCTATGGAGTAACTTCCCTTCACTTAGGTTTTGAGGAACCTTAGTTCCATGAGTTAGGATCTTTCTTGTATGAAGTTTTGGATGCTATATTGTTTGATTATAATCGAATGATGCATGTTTATTGAGTCAATTGAAGTCTGATCAACTTTTCCTGATTCCTGCTGCAATCTGAGATGGATAGAATCTGATTAGGTTGCTAGAGTCTCATCATTCGATAGTAGGAGATTGGCTATACGAGAGTTAGCCAGTTTACTGCTTTGTACTGGAATCCAATTCCAGTAGTGGAGTTCTGTGCTTATTGCTTCAGCTTTCTATCCCGGTGAAGACTAGTCGTCTGCCGGGTAGTTAGACTGAGAGGGCTTGGTCAGCTTAAGAGATTCCAAGCTACTGTCGGATCTTCCGCAGTTTAATCAACAGTAAATCAACCAAAAGGAATTACAACTTGGACCTAATTGAGGAGCTAGGGGGAATCATACCTAAGTGAGTTCCCAAACTGTAATTAGTAGTTTTACTTAGTTTAGTTAGTAGAGTAGTTTAGTTAATCAATCCTTAATCTAGGTTGCTAGATAATGAACTGAAGCTGAGTAATAGTAACTCTAGAGACCCGTGGATTCGATATTTATTACTTGTGCCACTATACTGCAGTCCCTTTCATTGGTTACACTTGGCCATTGTTAGGTGTTGTGTTTTAGAGCATCAGTGCTACAAGGTAAGTTACTTACTAATGGCGAGAGGTGCAGGAGACATATTTCTCAGACGGACACTTGCCCGGTCTGCGGTGGCGGCCCGGAGACGATTTTGCATGTAATAAGGGACTGTTCGTACGCCCGGGCGGTATGGTCGGAAGTACTTGAGGATGAGCCTGATGGGAACTTCTTCGAAGAAGATAGCACAAAATGGATACATTATTATCTGGCGGGCAAGAGCAAAGTGATCGATGCTTCCTTATTTGCAATTCTCTGCTGGAAGCTATGGAAGAACCGCAATGTTTGGGTGTTTGAAAAATGTTTGGAGCCTCCCTGGATGCTTGCCCGCCGAGCAGTGGAGCTGAAGCATCAGTGCCACCTAGCTTTTGTTAAAACTCAACAGGCCGTGGGCGATGGAAGGGAGAAGACCGAAGACATGATTGGCTGGGAAAAGCCTCCTCCTGGTTGGACTGCTTTGAATACAGATGGTTCCGTAATT